TTATAAACAACTCCTTAAACAACAGGGAAAAGTGAAGTCAGTCTCACAATACGGTGGCGTTAAAAAGTGACCACAAATACACTTCAAACACACTTCCCGTCAATACATTTGTCTCATCAATATTTAGTACTTTATATAAAGAGAGCTATTTTTTCACTTTTTTGCGAAATATCTTAAATTATTTTTCCATTAATTTTCTAATCGCAATGTTTTAAAAGTAATTTAAATGTGATTTTTTCAATAAAATTAATATTTTTATATGTTTATAATATTTATATTGTGATAATTGTGTTTTTTCATGCTCAATGCTCATTTTTGGATTAAATTTAATTTATATCCTAATGAATTATAAACCAATTTACAAACAGGCTCTTACACTACCTTATTATGTGACATAAGTAACAAATAAATAATGGTTCAATTGTTTAGTTAATAATCTATTTATTGATTTAATATTATTATTATTATTATTACAATTAGTTATTTAGACATTAGTTTTTTTTGGCACAACTTATCTTACAGTGAATTATATGTTTTGTTTTACTAATCATATTATTTATCATTAATTTTATTACTTTCCTTTTTAATTAGTGTTTATTAATATTTGACATAAATTTTTCGATCATTTAATATAAAACTAATGTTTAAAGAAATCAATTAAACAATTATTAAATGTTTTCTTAAATTTTATTAATTATACATCACTTAAACATCAATTTTAATTCAATTGATTTACACTATTAATAGAGTTATCGTTAGTTTTGTTGCTTGTAATTCAATAACTTTCTTATAATACATATTTTTAATACAAAAAACTAGACATGGACTTTATTTTACAGAATTGCTCTAGTTCGTTTAGTTTAGAAATTATTAAACAGCCGAGGCGCATAAAGATAATGGCTGGTTAGATAATAGTAAATGAGTTTCTATAATAGAGAATGAGTACTGATACATCTCCATAATGTAGTGTAAATGATCTCTACATCACATCTACCATATCTTTGTGTCTCATGTATTGTAAACGAAGTAAACAATTGGCCACACGTTTGCGTTTAGCGCACAACTCGTCGACACCCATACACTGGTCTTCACGTGCCAATGATTGGTCGAATGCATGTTTGGCTTCGCGGGCTGACTGACACTCGCGCTGATACTTAAACAAAATGACCCCAAACTTCCACGGGGTCATTTCGGGCCACGTGGGGACCACAAACTCCAATACCGAATGACTGGCCTGCCATAGCATAAAGTCACTGAAACGGACTACGCCTGACGTGCGTATAATTAAGTCGGGGATCGCGTAGTTAACGTCGTGTCCGCCAGTGTATAGACACTCACCGATCAGTTTCTGATCGATATCTGCTTCCATTATAACACCCGTCAGGATACAAAACTGCAGGTGCCTGAGCGCAGAGACTATCTCTAATTTTGCAGAGTACGGTATACATAGATTAACAACAATGCCGTCATTACAGGCAGAGCGCCTGACCAGTTCTGCCAAAAAAATGGCCACTCGCGGCTCAAGCATTGCCCAATCTCCCAGCACATGCACACGTATGCCACCTTTACCCAGATAGGTAGCGTCCCAGTGGTCGCACGCTTCGGTTATGATCTCCATTATGTCACTCACGTCGTCGGCTGAGCGATGATAGTTATCCACAGCAAACACGTAAAATGATAACTGTTTGACACCAATGCCTCGGAACCACTCGATCGCCAATTCCAAAGAGCGGCGGCCAATCCGGTAGCCATTCTTACTGTCTTTATTATTAGTCCGGGCGTACCGTCGATTGCCGTCCATAATTATCGCCACGTGTGCCGGCAATGGTCCGCATCTGAAAATTTGAATCGCCAACCGTTCCCATAATGCAAACTTATAATTATCTTTAGTCATGTTATGCACTTGATATACAAGTGTCATTTAATTTACAAGTGCCAATTTATTATTTAATTAATTTTGATTAAAGCTCAAAATGTTGTTGTATTTATTGCACTAAATAATAATTATTATTATTAAATATACTGTAATACACTATAATATATTGTTTTTATAAATTTTTAATACAATGTAAAAATTTGATTAATTTACATTCAAAACCTGATCTATTCACACCTTATTTTTGGCAATGATACCTGTTCTAGTATTAATTAACAGGATCATCGCTTAACATATTTATATTTAAAAAATTCATTTTTAGTACAACTTATTACATGAAAAAATATGACATGTAGTTAACGATGAAAAAATCAGTATTGAAATACTACTTTAAGCGCATGGAGTCTATATAATATTATCTAATTAATTATTGATTATTAAATCCAATATGTTTTGCATATTATATAAATGTTTTATATAATAACCATTTTGTAGAGCATTAAGAATTTAATTGGAATATAAATATTATTATTAATAAAATTGTTTTAAAAATAATATTACAGTACACTGTTTATTTCAATATATTAACACCTGAGTCTAATAAATCTACAAAGCAAATGTATTGTAAGTTATAAATATAATTTTGAAATATTGGAAATGTACTAACAATGTTGAATGTAATTCGGAAAACTATTTGTTAATTTATAATTATATATAATAATGTATTAAAGATTTGTATATTTAATATTATTATAAAAACTAATCCAATAAACCAATTTATTAAATTCACAATTGGTTACATTAATCAAATTGTTTTTAATAACATTATCAATAATGTCGTTAATTCGATTGCCTGGATAACTCTCTTCATATAGATACAATTTATAAATAATAAAAATAAGACTCATTTATGTGGAAAGTCTGTGTCATTCTCTTCAATATTCGTCATACAATACTCAATAATTAAATTAAATAATTAACAATAACATTTAAGTGTAATGGCGAATATTTTCTGACATGAGTAACAATTATTAGATTTATGTGATCTTCATTATAATTTAATAATTTATAATAACATTAACGAAATAATTAATAATTAATTAATGAGAACAATGCATATTACAGCAAAATTTAAATTAGAAAAACAATGGCACAAATTGACCACTATTGGTCTAAAGACACCCGGAGTTTGTAAGGAGAGAAACCCATTAATATCACCGCCCGGTTGGTACGATCCGGTCCGTTATAAACGGGCCCAACTGTTATCTAAAAAATATTTTCTCAGGTGATTTTAAAACAATCAATGTACATTTGCTAACGTATTTATCTATAATATGTAAAGTATAACATACAGTAACGATATAACAATATGCTATCTCATAGCAGAACAAAAAGAAAATCATATGGTTATGTCTTTAATTTGATATACTTTATAAATAACATTTAAAACAGATGTTCAATTAAATCGAGAATATAGTTTACATTTAGCTCATCTCGTTGGAAATATACTACTGTTACACTTACCACAAATCAATGTACCTGTTTTGACCACTGGCCGATCATCCTCTGTATATCTTGTATTGCGTCGAGTGTTGTCCACAGCAAGCCATGTGCTTAAGTGGTACGACGACGATCCGTTTGACAGGAACAGCACATCCCATAAATCCTTATCTCAAGTCAGAAACACTTGTCATATGGCGGTAACCAAAATGATGAACGAGAGGTATCCGCAAGAAGACTGTCGGTGGCTGAACCAGTTTGATATGGCGATGACTCAATGGTCTTACATTGGCCTCGTAGGTGTGCATCCATGCATATCGACCACATCTTACAACTAAAGGTTATGTCTTAATTAATTGTTTACATTTGTTATACATGTCAGGCATTCGGCCAAAAGAGTGTGGCTTTCATAAGACAACTGTAGAAGAATTAGAAGAATACATTTATTTTTGGAAAGTAATCGGTTATTGTCTGGGAATTGAAGATCGATTCAATATTTGTCAGAATAATTACAAGCAATCGGTCGCCTATTTTGACATTTGTTTTAATCAGTGCTATAAAAAGAATTTGGAAAGTCAGTGTCCTAAAGTGCAAATCGGCGTCAAATTGACCAAGGGTATTTGGTTAGGTACAAAAACATTTTTATAATTGTAATAATTTTAAACTGTATTTTGTTAGTACAATATTTAAATTAATTTATATATAATATAGGAATCAATGCAATTATGCCTAAATATATATTATGTTACGAAGGCTTAATGAAATACTGGTACGAAAGACTTGGTGTTAAACATCCTATTATACTGCAGAGTTTGGATCAGAAATTATGCTATTATTTGACGGTCATTACAATGGATTATTTGCTCAAAATCTCAATTATTTACAAAATTTTATCGTTTTTGTTTTTTTGGTTCCAAAACAAATTGTTTCAAAAAATGGATTATATTAAGAAGTATACAGATAGACAATATGCAAACATTAAATATGAGATAAATGTTAAATAAATTGATTCAATTAAGTCAATTAAATCGAACAATATTCGAGATAACAGATTTTGAATGTTATTTTGTTTTCAGCGTTAAATTCTACATTGATTTAATATATTATATTACAATTAAATAATGATTTAGTTTTCATGTTATTTAGCCTATTGCGCGCGCTTTTACACTGTATATTAACCATCTGTAATAATTCAAAGACGATCATGGTCGGTAGTTTGCCTAACGCTACTTATAATGTTAAAATAACCTCTCTTAGGGAAACTTCTCTTGGGAAAACACCTCCCCATAAGAAACGGATTTGTAGAGATTAAGATAAAACTTCCACTCCCGATAAGAAACAAATATAATCATAAGCACATGATATGTAAAGTATTCAAAATAGGCGACCGATTGCTTGTAATTATTCTGACAAATATTGAATCGATCTTCAATTCCCAGACAATAACCGATTACTTTAAAATATAATCATAAGCACATGATATGTAAAGTATTCAAAATATTTTCAAACCTAAGACTTTAAACAAACAAAAAACACATTTTGATTTAAAGTTTCATTAAATACTGTAAGAGTTGTGATAAGCATTTTATTCATTCTGTATTTTTTAAACATTAAATTTGTATTTTTCCCACCGAATACCACTTCTCTGTCACAACCAATGAATGCCGGAGTTATCAAAGTTTTTAAGAGTTACTACATGCAAGAACTCTTTAAACAACTCATTGCATTAAATGAAGCCAATTTTTATTCGAACCTCCCTTGAAGAAACCCTCTCTATAAGAAACACTTTGGCTATGCATCTGCCCGTTTCTTATGGAGAGGTTGCACCGTATAATATAAAGTATTTATATACATCAACTGGTCATCGTTTGACTACATTTTATCTTATTTTTTCTGTTTTAGAAAATATCTTTTCCTTTCAAAATTATTTTCCGAGAATATATTTATCATGGGAGGGAAATGACTAACACTAATAATATTAAAAAAACACATTTGATTATTAATTATATATCTGTTGTGTTAAACAATAATGTTAAAATTGTTATTAACTTTGTTGAGTGCGCTGTCGAACGGGTTATTTAACCAAGATCTATTTGCGTTACCAAAACAAATTGCTGATAATACAATTTTTAATCCAAATTTAAATAAATTTACAAATTTTTCAAATTTCAATCCGTTGTTATTGTTGCCTGAAACCAATGAATTAATTAATAAAACTGATAAGCCATTTATGACCCAAAACTACCCAGCTGAGTTTTTTGCCACCGGATATATACACCACTTTGGAGTATCAAAATCGGGTGCACCTCTTATTGGGTTCATCGGTCGGTGTTTGCATTTGACTGGTAACACAGCTCTCGACTTATTATATAGGCAGTTTATTTTGCACGTGTTGGCTGAATCTGCTCGCAAAAACAAGAATGTTGAGTTTGTTGTGTATTATAGTTTTTTGAATATGACACTGGATAATTTTATGTTACGTGAGTATTGATTAAATACAATTATAATTTACCACAATAATTTTGTTCATTTAGTAAATTATTAATAACATTTGACCATTAATAGTGAACTTTTAAATATAATTCTCTAGTGCTTTTCTATAAGAAATTTTTTTATTTTTAATTACAATTAAGCTATGAATAATGTGGTTTATAGCATCGTTCGGCCTCTCTTCTTCCCGGCCCTCACCCAATTGGGATTTAACATGAGATTACAGCTTAAGTCTATTGCTATACTTTAACAATGATAATGTTAAGTCTATTGAACAAATGTTAATTTCATGCACAATGTTGAGTCTCTGGGATTAATAATATTGAATTATGAGTCAATGAATAATATTGATCGTATGCATCGATAGGATAAATGCATGTTAACTCTATTAAAGTTAATCTTCATAGTCATATTAAATCTATAGATGATGCTAATCTATTCAGTGAGTAATACTCGAATTGTGGTTAACGTATAAGATTGATGTGTGATCTTTGTTTAGTTTTTAATTATTTTATTAACAGTGATTAATAATTACAAGAAAAATTAAAATTAGATTAGAATATAAAGTGATTTGGCAGTAAATATGTTAAAACAGCTTTTAACTGCAGCAATTTTCAAAATGCATCACCAAGTTAAATGTTATTAACGATATTGATGAGCAAGTTATTTGATTTATTGTATATTATTTTACTATTAATTTTATATCATTCATAAAGCTGTTGCTTACGATTTGGCGACGATTGGTAAAACGAAATGGGTTCATATCTTTAAATATTTCTCGGGCATTCACTACGATCTAGATCCCATATTACGGAGCATATTTAGTTTTTCTCTCCAATTCTTTGGACCACAAATTAGTAATAAAATTGTGATACAGAATATGGCGGACGAAAAGTATATAAGTCTGGATGAGATACCGGTTTATGTCAGCGGAAGAAACACCAGTTATCGCAGAATACCAGCGATGGTTAGAAGTGGCACATGTTTACCACATCTCAATATATCCAAAACTGATTGGCATTTGTTTATTACGGTTAACAAAGAGTGCATCGAAGAGGGGAGGCTTGAAAGTGGAGGTCAACCTCTCAATGAATATCTTAAGTTTTGCAAATAATTATGCTTTTAAATGTTATTCACGTTAATCATGCTAATCTTATGGAGTAATGTTAAGTCTATAAACAATACTTTTTAATCTTCAAAATTGTTTTTGTTTTACTATAAATTATTTAATGTATGTTTGGGTCTGTATTAAAAATTAACACAACATGAATGCACGGCGTCTGTAAACAACAATAAATTCAAATCAAAATCTAGATAAAATTAATGTAAATAATGGTTCAATTGTTTAGTTAATAATCTATTTATTGATTTAATATTATTATTTTTATTACAATTAGTTATTTAGACATTAGTTTTTTGGCACAACTTATCTTACAGTGAATTAGATGTTTTGTTTTACTAATCATATTATTTGCCATTAATTTTATTACTTTTTTAAAATTAGTGTTTATTAATATTTGACATAAATTTTTCGATCATTTAATATAAAACTAATGTTTAAATAAATCAATTAAACAATTATTAAATGTTTTCTTAAATTTTATTAATTATACATCACTTGAACATCAATTTTAATTCAATTTATTTACACTATT